ACATGTTATTAATATTTAATTTTAAGATTGCTTAAATGCAAAAACAAAAGCCACTGAGTTTAAAGATTATGATGTTTTCTTTTTTGATTCTAATAATGAATTTTGAGCATTTTCATGGTTTGTGTTAATTTGTTACAGACATAATTGATACAAAGTTTAATAATCTTTCATAATAACAATTTGATAGGGTTATTCGACTTTGTGCCATCACTTTGCATAAGATATAAACCAGGATTAGTTCATCATTTCAGGCACTTGTAGTGTTCGTACTAGACATTATTTTAATTGCTCTATTCTAGAATGTTCTATTTCTCTTAAAACTCAAGCCTGGTTAACATATACAGCACAAATTCATCTCGAGATTTATGAATGGTAAGTTCATGTACACCATTGTATTCCTCTAAGAATAGCTTTGAAAAATTTTCTTTGACCTTTCGAAAGTGAAAAGCTATTAAGGATTCTAATTAAGGCTTGCATATAATAAGTATAATTCTTGTTGGAACCACTACTAACAAATCTTGTGATAATAGCTTTGCTAGATCATATTACTCATCAACTTGTGATTAACTCCTTGTAAAACGTAAGATTATCTGAAAAGCTCTGTCAAACATTTTCCATCTTTTATAGTGACTCAACGATTAAGTTGCTCGCTATTTCAAAGATTATGCTACCTAATTCCAAATATGATCTGCTAACTGCAATGATCTTAAATTGCTACTAAAACTCAGTGTAGTACTAATAATGATTGCCATGTTTATTTCCTTGTAATATGTTTGCCTCTATAATATTCCACATATAGTAATATTGTTGCTTACCATATTTTAATATCAAATAATAATTCTTTAGTGTTTACTATTGGTTTGCAAGTATAATAAAAACAAAACATATTTGAGATTTCTTTAAACTAAACAGTTCTGATTATCCCATCTTTCCTTGCTTCATCATTTTTCAATCTGTCTTTACATAAGATTAAGAATAAATAATTTTAAGAGTGCATGTATTAGTAAGATAATATAATGAATAGAATAGATGAAATAGAATCTAAGTATTAATAAATAAAGTTTTTAATTGACATATTAGTGAATAAATGAAATATTCAAAAGATTGTTTAAATTCATAAATTCAAAAGTGCAAATAGCAGAAAATAAATAATTAAAGATTTTAATCATCTTTAAGATCAATAAATTTCAAAATTAATAAATCAAAGTTAAAAAATTAAGTTAATTTTTACTGTAATGATATTTATAATTTTATATATCTTGAATTTATGATTCAAATAATTGATTTGTAATTCCCTTAAGAAAACGGAAGGTATGCAAATTTATGTTGTAGATTTAAGCAACAGAATAGAAAGCGTTAAGAATTTCAAAATACATTTAATGAGTTAATTCATTATTTAGATAAATTCAACAAAATCAACCAAAACCCCCAAATTGAAATAATATTTTCAAACTATTCAGAAATAAAAAACAATAAAAGCGTAATTTGAGTATAATTTTATAAAATGAAGAAGTTAAGAAATAATTTAATAAACAATCTTTATCAAATAAGTAAATTAATAAAAATATCTTAATTTAGAATAGAATTTCTATCAATATACTCTAAGTGGTAGAACTAATGATTCTAAATAGAACCATTTCATTAATATTATTATTAATATAATTCTCATATGAATGTACATCTTTCTATCAATAATATTCATTCTCCTAAAAATTTCCTAATTTATATTTCTTTAGATGAATCATCCCAAGTAATAAAATGCTCTCCATCCTAACTCAATTATCCAAACAAAACATAAGTCTTAAAGTGAATAGATTGCTCAACTGAAAATTCATTCGTTTCAGTCCTTCTAATAATATTGACATATTGATCGTGCTTATTGACTAGTATCTGTTTTTGTTTATTAAATTATTATGGAAATAATCTACAATCATCACATCCTTAATTTATTGTTATATCCTTTGTTTTTGTAAATTATTTACTCATAAGATTCATCTCAAAGACATGCATTAAATTGCCTATGTAAAAATATCATTATTAATAAAACATAATCGAAATCCATAAACATCAACTTTTATTTTTTATATAACAATCCACTTTTCACTTTATTTAGAATACTCAATTACTAATATTGAATTATCCTAATCACAAGAAATAAGTTTATTTTCTTAATCATTTAAACTGATTTGATATACTCTACCAGTATGATCAGTGATTGTTTATTAACAAACCCATTCACTTTTTAGATTCCAAAACTTAATAGTTTAATCATCACTACATGTTATAAAAAGATCTTCATGACTATTCAAAATTAAACACCGAAGATAATTAGAATGTGCTTTTATTGTTTATAAGGAATTCAATTAACTATTTTTATAGTTTGACCAAATTACTATTGATCCACCAACATCACCAGATATCAACTAATTTGATTTTTCTATGAAGTTTAAGGTGTATACATAACTCGTGTGTTCATTTAAGACTTCAGTTTATTTCACCATTCCTTATTTGAATTCATATATTTTAATTTATTCTTCGCAACCAACTGCCACCTTTGAGCAATTCTTATTAATTGTTATCGCAAAACAAATTTGTTACTCCTTAATTGAATTATCTTCAATTATTTAATAAGTAAATTTTTTTAAATTGGATGAAGTTTTTGGAGATTAAATTTGATTCACTTCTTAGAGATCATTTATTTGTGATGATATAAATGAATCTGAATAACGCGAATCTGATTAGAGTTTGAATTGAAGTTATTCTTAGATTTTTAAGCTAGTTTATGATTTTACTTCTTAAAGAATATTGTATTAAAACTTGGATTATCCAATTAAATGGAATTAATCAACTTTTATCTAAGCTAATTCCAACCTTGGATTGCTAAACTTATAAATTGGCGAATCGATAATGAATACTGAATCAATTAGATTATTGATTTTATCAAAAGATGACTAAATAATTACAATAATCTATTAATACATCTAAATCC